GAGTTTTATTCAAAAATAAAAAGCAAAACTTTAAACTCCAAAGATGTAATGCAGATACAGATTTTACAGTAATGTAAAACGGAGAAAGAAAAGTTGAAATGGTAGTAATAATTATTATTGCCTGATGAAGCAGGCTTTTTTTAAGGTTATAATGGAAGCTTATGGATGAAACTCCGGCATTCAGATTTAAAAGCCTTGATTTTTCCAAACCAGCAGTGAGTTATTTCATCTCATGTGTCAGCAAATAGAAGCTGCTCGCTTCTTGTGCCTCAGAAAATGTGAAGCCAGTGTGTTAATTTGCAGAGAGAGGACACAAAGACCAGGGGTCACCACAAAAGAATTTACCAAAGTCTTGTTTGTTAGCCTGTTGGACCACAGGCTGTAAGTACTGGACACACTCAGAGTGAAGTAAAGCCTTCAGTGGACAACTTAAGGCTCGAACTGGTAGATTAAATCCATCTCTAAGTCTTGTTACCAAGGAAACACTGATAGCACAGCCATATGGTTAAAGGTAAGCCAAGCTGCTTGTTTTCAGTGAGTTTGGGTTTTGAACTCTGATTTGCTTTGGAGTCTAGACTTCTCATATGGTAGCATTCAGTGTTAAGATATATAGTGTAAGATATTGAGTATCAATCAGTTTTGATCATCACCTGCTACATCTACATTTTAAAAATGGCAGATAAATGATGTGTGCCATGTGTTACTAAAGCCAAACCGTTGAGTTTTGGGAACCAGGAACCAGTTGTGGGAGACCAGGGGAAATCAAACAAAGTAAAAGGCTATGCTGGTTTCAACCGTGGAGAGCTCTTCTGCCTCCTTAAAGATACATTAGGTAACATGACAATCCTTCAACAATATTTTATAGACATGAAAGGAAAAGCAGAGTCCTTTATCCAAGTAAATGAGGAGGAATCCATGTTTCAAGACCCCCAAATCTGTTGTTTTGCTTCTGTAAGGTGCAGAATAGCTTTATAACTTGAACTAGTGTGTCTAGTGTCTGTGTCCCAACCCGGGGCCTTTAGCCACTCCTGTAATTCTATTTCTAACATGTGTTACTGGCACAGATGCAGATCTTCTCTGCTGAAGTCGTCCTCCTTGTTTTAACACTGTCTTTACCCGTGGAAGCCAAAAAGTGTCCCAGAGCCTGCAGCTGTGACAGCACCACACTCACAACAGCCTGTGTGGGCAAGAACCTAACAGATGTCCCCCCGACTGTGGAGGAGGTGAGGAATTCAGTGGTTTTGCTGTATCTTAGACATGTAGGCTTTTTAAACTGAGGGTTGATAACAAGCTGGATGGATCCTCTCCTCTTTACTCTGAAGGATGGCGCGTGCACGTGTTTCAATAACAATTTCAAATGCTCTCCTCTTAACCTGACTGAGATGCTCACAACCTGAAAAGGGTTTTCAATTAAGACATCCCAGAAATATTGATGAACTGAAACAGGTTTATAGGACAAAGATTTCTCCTCAGTGAAACATCAGAAACATCTAAAGAGAGTTTGCTGCTGCTAAAGAAGCTTCTGTAAAATACAGCGTGTAATTATTTTCCAGCCTGTGTTGTGAATGATCACTCATTGTCCTCAGTAAAGGAAGAATGAAAGTGTATAATTATGAAGCACAGACCACATTCTGTGAGTAATTAGTGCAGAAATCAAGAGAGAGTGATTTTAGAACCAAATAGTGATTAGTTAACCAGACTTATTATCTGAATAAACCAGCCTCACTCTGGTTTCCGTCCTGGCATGTAATTGTGTGTCCAATACTCATTGTTTCCTCTAGATTACTGTGAAACTCGACCTGAGGAATAACAACTTGCAGGTGCTGTCCAGGGGGGCATTCATGCACACACCCTACCTCACCCATCTCAACCTGCAGCGCTGCAACATCATCGAGATTAAAGAGGGCGCCTTTCGGACTCTTGGCCGAGTGGTCTCTCTAAACCTGGCTCACAACAAAATTGAAATCCTTTACCAAGTAAGATCAGAGGCCCGCAGTTTTTCCTCTCGAGTCTTTATTATGAGAATGATGTTCTCTTCTTTTCACTGCTGCAGGAGTCCTTTGACGGTCTCTCCTCCCTGAAAGAGCTGCG